GCACAAAAATATACCCATAAACTCTTTTGCTACTTTCTTTGTTTTCTTCTTGGGGTGCAATATTCGTTCAAAATGTAGGCAATCATGAATGCAATTCGGATTTAGTTCTTTCCACTACGAAATAATTAGACTAAATTTTTCCCAAAGCACTTGCGCAAGTTAGAAAGAAATAAAGAAGACTCTGCTTAATCCATACTTTTCTCCATTCACCATGATATGCTCATGGTATTCTAGCTTTTCAGTAGTGTTAATTCAATGAAACCACGGGGTTTTAAAAACTCTTCTTTATACCAACATTTTATTTGCCTGCATTTTCTCCTTCATAGCATTTGCCAACGTCCACGTCACAACACTACACTAGACATTTCTTCTCAAGTATACATATTTGTTTTGCCTTTTTGGATTCAACCTTTGATTTGTTGTGGAGGATACCAGTTTCATTCAATGTACAGCTTATAGTCGAAAAAGCAATTGACGAGGATGAGATGCGAAAGCTGAGATGAGAGAAGAGAAAGGCTCCTACAATTTTGCCAAAAAATAATATGGTAATTGCCAATACTTAGTTTCAGCTTCTTAAGAGAAGACAATATACATGGATGTATCCTTCATATACAGAATACAACATTCTCAGAAATCAGATTTTATACTCGTAAACAGCAGATATAAAAACTATATAACCTCAGTTAACACTTATCCTGGGCCAGATGTTAACTCAGACCACAATTCGTTAGTTTCTGTCGTGAAAATAAAATTAAAAAGAATTAAACTCAGGAGACAAGAGCCGAAAATTAATATAAGAAAGCTGAAAACGATGAAATAAAAAAATTTAAAAAATAATGTGAATGTTAATATGCAAAAAACACTAACTGACAACAAACAAATTAAGGACGTAAATAAAAAGTGAAATAATATAAAAAAAATATTACGGAAACCAGCTCAAGAAAGTTTGACGCAACACAGGTCAAGAGGCTAAAAAACAGTGGATGACAGAAGAAATATTACTCCAGATGGAGAAAAGAAGAAATTATAAAGGAAAAGTTAATTAAGGACAAAATAAAAACAGCTAAGAAAATGTATTTGATGAAACAATGTAAAGAGATAGAAGAACTAAACAAAATATATGAAAAATATGTACAACAAATAAGAGAAGTGACTGGAATGGGCCAAAGAAGTCAACAATGACACATAAAAGACAAAATCAGGGTACTGCTAACAGATTTACCTAAGAAATTTAGCAGATGGGAGTAGTATGTTAAAGAACTTTTTCAAGATGAAAGAGGTGAAATCCATGAGTTACAAGAATTAAATCTTTAAAGAGACAGAAGATCACGATATATAAAACCAAATATGCTATCAAAAACTCTAAAAAAAATAATAATGCAGCTAGATTAGACGAAATACCTGTGGAACTGTTAAAATTGGTGGAAGAGAATAGCTTGGAAGTATTGGCAGATTTGTTCAACATGGTGAACAATACAGGAATAATGCCGCAAGAATAGCTGAAGTCGGCGTTTATAAACATCTCTAAAAAACAAGCAGCAAAAGACTGCTTGTGCAGATTTATTTAAAAATCCTTTATAAAAAGGTATATTTATTTAAAAAAAGAACCCTTTCAGGCTAAATCACAGAACATTTCAAAACGTAATTAGACTAACAGGTCCACCATCAAAAGCCACTAAATATGTGCGTATAAACCCTTTAAATTTTATTAAATTTGTTATATATTTACATCGTTGCTGATAAATTTATACTTTTACGATGTTAGATTTTTAAACATAATATTTACTTCATGGCAATGTAAGACTCCCAATCGGAATTGCTGACCCTGAGACATAGTCTCTATATTGATCTTAGGTAGCAACTGACCATATAAAGACTACGTCTCAGGGCCAGCAGCCCCAATTAGGAATCTTACGTTGCTATAAAGTAACTCTGTTTTGACTCTATGAAGTAACTTTAATATCATATAAATTTATCAACAATGATGTAACACGACACAAATTTAATATCATTTTAAGGGCTTGTACTTACATATTTCGAGGCTTTACTGATGTATACCTGGTAACATCATTGATGATGGACTTGTTAGTCAAAAACTTTGTGAGGTAGCCCGAAAGGGTATTAAATAAATATTTTTTTATAAAGTATTTTTAATAAAATTTTTGTAATTTATGATATACAGCCGACTACAGGAAAGTCATTTTTCTTTTGGACTTTTTTCTTTCTTAGGGTTTGTATCTTTACTCTCAATGTTTTGTTATAGTTTTGTTATATTGGAGAACTCCTTTTGATTATTATGACCTGACAAGACCTTTGGGCATTTATTACCTTTTCTATCAGCATTAAGTCTTACATTATTCTGTATAAATACTTAGATCAGAATCTCTACTGTAATAACTATCCTATAAGCCAATGTATTGTTGCCTGTCTCCCGCCGCTAGGCGGGATAAGGGGAACAATCCTTTGGCTTACACCATACCAGATCAATGTTGAGATCACTCTGAAGTACAATAATTTTCATTTTCTATGTATTTAAACCAATGTTCATACCTTTTTAAACACAGTTTGCAAGTTGTCGTTGAACTCTTTGTAAAATCCTTTTGTTTAATACTCTTCTTCTTGATATCACACAAACAGTAGAAATTAATCCTATGGCAAACATAAATCCTTCAAACCTCCAAAACGATAGTTCATCATAATAAACAGCTTTATCACAACTTCTTGTTACAGTTTCACCATTAGCACACTTGAGAACTTCTTTGTAATGGCTATGAATGCAAACACCAATAGTTTTGCTACGAATTTCAAACGCTAGAAAAAGCAATATATTTAAAACATTTTAAATTACCAAAAATCAATACGAACCCTAAAAACTAAATGTTCGGACAAACGAAAATTTAGTAAAAACGTTGATTTTCACGATCTTTCTTATTGAACCAAAGGACGATATCAATAATACATTAAATTCTATCATTAATAACAAAATGTTAAAATGGTCCGGTCTCTATAAACTTTAAATTGCAGATTTGGGGCAAAATAAAAGAAAATGTTGCATAACATCGTGATAACTAAATGTTCGGACAATTTAACAAAATACTATTCTAATACTGTCTGACATTGTTGATACTAAGGCATTACACAAGTAAGGATCGGAACTATCCCATAATTCACCTAATTTATTCTTCAAATCGGCAACGGTTCTCTGGGGATCATTACGCAACTTCTGTTTCATCTTATGCCATAATGTCTCAATAACATTAAGGTCTAGACTGTTCGAAAGCCATGAGAGGACGTTAATGTTATTATCTTCAAACCATTTTTTAGTTGTTTTAGTTGTATGACATGCAGCACCATGGACGTATAAATAAAGATATCTTTATTTATACGTCCATGTGCAGCACCGTTTTGCTGGAATATAAAATTCAAGGCATGCTACTTGGTACAAGACTATTTTTCAAAATTTCTTGATACTTTAATTGTGCATTTCACAACCTCACATCTTCCTAGATCAGCTGATGACACGCACTCCCAAATCATAATTCCTTTGGGACACTTCACAGTTCTTTTGAGACACTCTGTATTGAATTATTCATTTTACTTCTAATAACCCGTTTTGAAAGTCTCCCATGCAAGCATCAAATTTCCATTCGTCACTTAATATGAATCTGGACCGGTCATCAATGGTCTATGAAAACTTTATGGAACCGCTTCAATTGGACAACATCGATTGCATGGACCGTTGATGACTGGGCCAGAGTCATATTCAGTGACGAATCGGAAGTTGATGTTTGCGTGGGAGACTTTCGAAAACGAGTTATCAGAACTAAAAATTAAGCATTCCATTAAGATTGCCTCAAAAGAGCTGTGAAGTGATAAAAACGAATTATGATTTAGGGGAGCATGTCATCAGCATCAAGAAATTTTGAAAAATAGTCTTCTGCCAAATGCTCACGATCTTTAGCAGGTCTTGAATTTTATATTCCAGTAGGACAGTGCTGCATGCCATATAGCTACAACAACTAAAAATGGTTTGAAGACAATAACATTAAAGTGTTCTCATTTCCTTTGAACAGTTCAGACCTTAATTTTATTGAGGCATAAGATAAAACAGAAATTGTGTAACGATCCCCAGAGAACCATCGCCGATTTGAAGAGTAAATTGGGTGAATTATGGGATAGTTTCGACCTGACATGGGTAAATCCTTAGTACAACCAATACCAGACAGGAATGCCGCGGTTGTAAAGGCGCCTGACAATGTAAACCCATATTAAAATAGAAATCTCTTGAATTGTCCAAACATTAATTTAGTTGTCACTATATTATGTAACATTTTCATTTATTTTGACGCCAACACTGCAATTCAAAGTTTATAGAGACCAAACCACTTTAATATTTTGTTATTAATGATAGAGTTTAATGTATTGTTGATCTCGTTCTTTGGCTGTGAAGATGAATGTTTTCAATAAATTTTCATTTGTCTGAATATTTAGTTGTTAGGGCTCGTAAACATTTAAAATCTATACACTATACACTGTACACTATAAATAAATCAATATGTCTGTAAAACTTTTGTGGATATAAATAATTAAAGAATACTCTTTCCACAATATGTAATGAACTTTATTAATTATTTTAATACCTAAGTAGAGACTCATATGGCTGTGGATGCCGATGTCTAACATACGCATCTAAGCAATATGTTAACCATAATGTTAGTAATTATATGGAATTACAGTAAGATGGCGCTTCATAACACAACACATTTCCCACCTTGCATGTATGTGCAATAATACATTTAAAACATAATGCCAACTACTTAATACATAACATAATTTCTCGGGTGAAAGAAAAAGAAGTTCAGAATAATTATAAATAATCACAATTCAGATTATTGACTAATGCCATTATACTAGAATACGATTTTACTTACAATCTGCAAATCTTAAATCATCCAAGAGTATTACAGTAAAACCTCCGTTAACCGAAATAATTGGGGGGAAGGGCGTTTCGGATAACAAGAATTTCGGTTAAAAATAACATTGTTTTTTTAAACATTTTTAACATTTAGTATTCTTGGTTAAAATATTGGTATTAAAAAATACTATACGGTGATTTCGTAATGTTTTCTAATACGTAAATACAGAATAAAGTATTAAAATTAAGGAAAATGAACAAGTTTAACATGATTTTTTAAAGAAATCTTCTATTTTCTTTTACGTTATCGTTTGACAACGATGTTTTGCAGCTATATATCTCTATCTTTAATTTGCAGAACGTCGTGAGTTTGCCTCATTTCATCGTTTGACGAAACGTAAAGCAATCTGAAAAGGACAAAACTTTATACAATGGCAACAAAAATTAAGAACCTACTCATGTCCCTAACTAATTAGGCCAACTGTATAAAATTCTTTTCCTTAAGGCATTGAAATCTCATCGGCGGTCTCACGCTACCTGTTGTCTGTTGGGTCGTCATCTTCGTCGTCTGATACGCTCAGGTTGTCTGGATGAAGAACCATATCAATGATGACCTGGTCGATGAATTCACTTTCTGAGTCATCGGCTGCTAACCACTCACGTATCTCTTCTTAACGTAAATTTTTTATTAAAGGTTTAATTTCTTCTGTCGTTTCTTTACCAGTTTCTTCTTCAGGATCATCAATCAAAATCCTAGTTCCGGCATTTTTCCAAAGTTGAAGATTTGATCTTGGCCCAGAACTCAGCACACCGATAAACAACATGTTTCATTGTTGAACAATTGAGGATTTCAGGAACACTTTTGCATTCATTCGTCCCCTGTAATAACAGATGTCTTAAGAATGCTCCTGTATAATGTCTCTCGAATGTCTCTATTACTCCATGGTCTAATAGCTGAATTAAGCTCGTGACATTCGGTGGCAAAATCTGACAATTATCACTATTGCATAGATTTTGAGGGTGGTTGGCGCATTGTCTTCAAGCAACAATGCTTTGATGGGAAGTTTTTTTTTTATTTTAAAAATTGGGACAAATTCATTTTCGAACCATTCTGAAATTTTTTATTAAAGGTTTAATTTCTTCTGTCGTTTCTTTACCAGTTTCTTCTTCAGGATCATCAATCAAAATCCTAGTTCCAGCATTTTTTCAAAGTTAAAGATTTGATCTTGGCCCAGAACTCAGCACACCAATAAACAACATGTTTCATTGTTGAACAATTGAGGATTTCAGGAACACTTTTGCATTCATTCGTTCCCTGTAATAACAGATGTCTTAAGAATGCTCCTGTATAATGTCTCTCGAATGTCTCTATTACTCCCTGGTCTAATTGCTGAATTAAGCTCGTGACATTCGGTGGCAAAATCTGACAATTATCACTATTGCATAGATTTTGAGGGTGGTTGGCGCATTGTCAACAAGCAACAATGCTTTGATGGGAAGTTTTTTTTTATTTTAAAAATTGGGACGAATTCATTTTCGAATCATTCTGAAAATAAAGTGGTCGACATCCATGAGCATTTTTGGCTTCTATAAAAAACTGGAAGTGCTTTTTCTCAAATATCTTTTAGAGTTCTTGGTTGTTTTGATTTTCCAACTCACATAGGCATCAATCGGTAAGTGAAATTAATGGAATTGTTTACATTTTGCGATAAAATATTACTTTTTATTGACGAAATTATTTAAACTGTTAGCTGTTTCGGTTAAATGATGTTTCGGTTAAAAAGGTTTCGGTTAAAGGAGGTTTTACTGTATTAATAAATCAGAATTAAACATAGTGGTAAATCAGTTCAGTATTCCCATCTGTTGGTAGAAAGAATGATGTGGCCATATTATCCTACCAATAAATAAGAATGAAAAAACAGACTCATGTATGAACTATAGAGGAATTTCACTAAACGAGACCACATATAAAATATTGGCTTTGATATTGCTTAAAAGATTACTACTATACGCTGAAGAAATAGTTTATGATTACCAGTGTGACTTTAGGTCTGGAATATCGACAATTGGTAATAGTACTTAGAGTAGAGTAGAGTAAATTTTTATTTGCATAAATTTTAAACATAATTGAGCAAATAATGTCACATTATTAATTACAGATTAAAAAAATATATATATTGACATCACACATTTAAGTAAAATATTACATTACAAATTAAATATACTGATCAAGGAGAAGGATAGGCCAGGCACTCCTCCACAGTATATGGCTCAATGTCAACTAGGTGTTGACATTGAGCATGTAGGTAATATCATATATCAATATATTCATATTAACAACTTGGTCTTGGCAATGTTGATACTCTAAACTCCTCTTCCATTCTAAGAACTATCTTTAAGATTTTTTTAAAACTCCTTAATTTTAAGAAATTGAACAGAAGATTGAGAAAAAGTTCCCTAATATATGAATACCTCTTAAAAAAATCAATGAAAGTACAAATGCATCTCTTTGTGGAGGTTATTCATCTTGTTTTTTATGTAACTCTGTAATGTACCTTTGATTGAATGTGAATAATGCAAACACATTATGTCCACCATGCAAAAAAAACCAAAGTTAATGATACTCCCTAACAAGCATCTTCCCCATATGTCCAATGCAATTTCCAAACCCAAGAAAACCAGAAGATGACCAGCCAGACATTAAAAGAACTCCTGAGAAATATTATCGTGTTTTGAAACAACTATATAACTGTATATAAAAAAAGAGCAGTATTTCAAAAACAGTTTGAAATGACACTAAGTCACATGCTACGTGAAAAGAGTCAGCACATGAAAACTGCACTCAGAGGTATAGAAAAGTGTTGTAATATTCTGTTACTAAAAGCAAAACGAACGAGCTACAAAATGAACATGGCACAAATCTCTAAATTTATCATATTTATTCAACAACACAAGAACATAAAATTGTCTATTCAGACAATGCTTGTCTGAATAGACAAAATTGTCTATTCGCAGTAATGCTTGTTTGCAATTGGTCCAACCACAGGCAAGTTTACTCCACTAAATTATGACATATTGACACTAATGACATTTGTGAAATTTATTTATTATTATTATTTTCCTCTAATACATAAATCGATTTCTGACTAACTTGTTTGTTATAACTTGGACTTGGTGATATGTGAACAGTATTTAATGTGATATTTTTCTAGATGATATTTATACTAAATATAGTTTAAAGTATTTATAAATGTATGTTATTTATATCTAATTATCATAAGAAAAACGGCAACTATCTTTAAATTTAGTGTATACTTGTTAAGAAGCATTTCCATTTTGTTTTCATCACAATAAAAGAACATTAGTACTTAAAGTAATGTTGTGTTTTAGTTTGATTATATGATACAGTTGGTTTTGTTCTTCTGGTTGTAGATCATCACAAGAAAACTGTAAAATTATGCAAGAATGTAACTTAATAGATTGGATTTGTTGATTATCTCACAGAAATCCAGTATTTTTAGTAAATTTTATTTGTTGATAACAAATTGGACAAACTCACTGTCAAAATTAAACAAGGATCTAGCATTAAAGAAATTGTCAGTACACACTTATTTATACAAAGCATCTTTTAAGAAAAAAAACTAGATTCAAGAAATTGATCATACCACAATAAGAATATGGTCTACTATTAAAAGACAAATTTCTGAGAAAAACCATACTTAGATCTGTAACATTATTGCCTCTCCAGATCAAAATATTCTCTAAATTATAATTAAATACCATAGACTTAAGAGATCTATAAAACTGGATCACCCGATATTTAAATATATATACATGGGACCAAATGTGAAAAAGTCTTTTTTTTATTGTAATATATATTGGAAGTGAATTGAAAAAAATTATTTTAGTATTCAAACATAAAAACTAAACAATGTTAGGTTAAAATTGATGTGTGAGGTTGTCCAATATTGATTACTCAATTACCACAAGGCCGAGATAATCAACAAAAAAAGAAGATGTATTTGGTGACTTTTCTAGTAACTTTCTTGAGTGTGAATCTGTCTTTTTGGTTTACTCCTCCTGGTTAAAAAACAGAGTATAGTCTGACTTACTCTGAACTTAAATTTATATTCATCTTTAAAGTGCATATACTCAATGGCATACATTTGAGCTGTCCGCACATTGGTGGAAGAGCTATATGGGTCACATATATGCCATCCACACATACAATGCTAAAAGAAAAGTCACTTTGGGAAATTTTCTATCCACTGCCTTTTTCCATTACTGTAAGCAAATATCCTAGAAATAGGACTAACCTAGATGATATGTTATAACTGCCCATTTCTTTAATTTGTAATTTTACATTTATATTTGTTTAAAACCAAGTATTTATTTTATATTCCTGAGTATGACGGGACAAAAAAGAAAGCTGATAAGATAAAAGTCATTCTTCTTCTTTAGATTCATTCTCCTATCAGATATTGGAAATCATCATAGTTTAACCTGTTAAGCCCCAAAGCATAGATGTGCTCCTTTCATCTCAGACAAAACTGGGCCAGTCACTTAAACATGATAATATACTGTGGGCCAAATTGGTACTCATGGTCTGAAGTAAAAACGTACTGTACACAAGTCTGGTGCACATGGGGCTAAATATGTTAACTACATTCCCTAATGAGCTACAACCAAGCCACTCTCTTGTTTACAGCTAATATTTAATATCTGAATCAAGATATCCTGCATCTGCCTAGGTTTCTTCTTTCTTGTATCTTCTGCATATTCCGAGCATAATCAATGTAAATGGATTCTCTTCAGTCACTAGACATCCTAAGTATTAAGGTTTTCTAATTTTAATAATTTTTATGATTTCAAATTCTGTGTAATACTTCTAAATTAGTTATTATATCTGAAAATGATATTTTGTGCATTCTCCCAAAACATTACATCTCAAAGAAAGTTAATTCTTTAGTTTCAGATTGTTCTATGGCCCATATTTCCAATTAAAAGAGAAATGTCCATACATCCTCCAAAGTCAACGAATTTCATACTTCAATATATTATCACCCCTGGATTTACTCAAGCTACTGATTTTATTGAAGCCAAGTCGATTTTAAAAAATACCTTCATGTTATTTTCTATACCTACTAATTCAAGCCAGGCTTTCTAACTCTTTAGATTAGATAATGGGGTGCAGTACAATCAAATATAACAATATAAAGCAAAGTACATTTCATACTTATATTTGTAGCTATGTAAATAATAAAAGTAACAAGTATAATATGTATTGCAACTAATTTTAATACAAAAATAAAATTACCTGTACAGGGTTCACATTCCTTGATTACTTCAAAATGACCGTTCTCCCAGCAGGTTGAATTTTGCTCCACAATGAAATTTGACTTTTTGTCTCTTTTGGTCGACTCTGTCCAGTGTGACTCAATAAATAGTACTAATATAGTTAAACTAAGGAAGAAAAACAGGATGGAATTTATTGTTTACTAATGTTAATATTTACTTACATTCCTAATACCGTGATTCCCAATAACATACGTTTCTTTGGGCATGATTCTATCATTTTTTGTTTAACATGTGGCATATACTGCTTCAAAATATTTTGATTAGTTTTTATTTTAAATTAAATGATTACAACTCATTCTATAATCTAATCTAATTGATTTGACATCTGTCATAAGCTACAGCTCTTCTTTCTAAACCCCAGCGATATAGAAGTGAAATGGTACAAAGAATACCAGGTACCGTACCATAGAAGTGAAGTGAGGTACGTCATCAAGGTCTTGTAAACTTATGTGATCTAGTCATCGAGTAAAAATCTAGTGCTGCCGTTAAGCATTATTTCTAAAATTTTAAGTTTTTATGCTTTAGTTTCGTATTAATAGAAAATTATTATCATTTTAAATTTAAGTACTTCAAACTCATACGCAGTTATAATAAAAATGAAGTTTTTGTAAATAAACCTAACAATGAACAGTTGATATGCAACATATATTACAGCATTAAGGAAAGCAAATGTAACTAAATTACGATTATGAATTTACAACTTTATCATGGGAAAATGTTTTATACTCACAATAAATATCATTCTTTACTTACCTGTTATTTATGTTCAAAGCTATATACCGATATTCGTGATTTGATAGTATCATGCTACAGTTCCCGAAATTTTGTTTAATTCTGTAATCATCACATCCAGCCTTCATTTATCACGTCCACTGCTGGACATAGGCCTCCCTTAAACTCCTCTATTCTTTGCGATTTCGTGCTCTTTGTTGCCAATTTTTGGTTTTGGATACGCCTGATGTCGTCAGCCCAACGTGTAGGTGGTCTTCCTCCACTACGTTTGTCTACTCTTGGCCTCCAATGTGTAATTTTGCTCGTCATGCATTCTCGCTACATTCCTTCTGTAATACGTTCCCTATTTTTCTTCTTTGTATGTAACCGAAACGGATGTCGAATCTAGAGCACTGGATACTATTTCTCTGGACATATACACGAATTGTTGGTGTGGAAGAAGTCGTAGAAGACAATCAAGAACTGATCACTGAAGAATTGTAAACAACAAAGTACGATGAGTATCAGAGTAGAATGTATATAGTCTCTTCTGAATGAGAAGATAAAGGGATGAACGAAGCTCAGGAGAGCCACAAAAATTCAGATTGTACACAAAGTTCTTTAGACGTATTTCTAATAAAATTTGGTAATCTAAGTGACAGAAAGTAAAGTTTCCAGAGAAAAAACTTATGCATATAGTTTAATTATCCTTTTAAAAGTGATGTAACTACTTATAATAGCACACGAAGTTTGCAGTTTAGTATTTGCAAAGTTTCAGACACGTGGCGGTTATAACAGTAAATTTGTGAAATAAAACTAAAATTTGGCGTTGCTGATCTAATAAACTTTTTTGGTAAGTAGTATTTTACTCGTAACATGCGTTAAGCTAAGTGTTGCTTTTCCTTTTTGTAGAATTGCTACATTTTCTTTGTCAAATACCTACTACACTTTATTTTAGGTGAACATGGTCAAAACAAAAGTAACAACCATTCAATCTAGTTGTCTTCGAGGATTTTCAATTTTTGTCGTCTATAACAACATATAGAGAAAATTCTGAACAGAACTTGCTGTCAGGATGTTTTGACCAGAACTCACCACCGGAACATTAGAGCCAAAATGTTTCTTTGATTGAAAATATATCAAAAAGGCCCACTGATCAGAAATTAACATCATTGCCAGTCATAAACATCTCGGTAGTAGAAGATATTTGTCCTACTCCTGTTTGCAGTTTCCAGCTGTTATCGATTATGTTAGAGCCTTCAGTGTAGCTTGACAGTCTTAGTTAATAAATATCTTGCTTGAATTGAGGATTTTTTCAGGCTCTCTACTAGCTAGTGGTATGTAGCGACAAAGTAACTTTACTTTGCTTTGCTGTATGTGCCAGGGCGTAAAGAAATTATTATTTTTTTTTTTTTCATTAAAGTTGTCTGTTCTAAACCAGTCGTTCTGTAGCCAGTTGGTTCATTATATATCTTTATAGTAAATCTTTTATTCTACTATAAGTGCCATGCTAGGATTTTGGAACCCTGTACCAGCTTGCACAGGTATATTGGATGGGTACTATATGTCTTTGCGGTGTGTGATCTAAGCCTCGCAGTCATATAGGAGATGGTTCCCTCTTTTAAGTTCTCTGGTATTCTTTGCATCTTAAGTATTCATGAAACAGCCCCATTGTATGCAGATGTCCCTTGACTGGCATATATCCAGTAATAAAATGCGTTAAGATTCTGAGCTGTTCTGCTTGTTTTCCGCAGTACTTCAACCTTATTATCACTTGTCTGTCCAATATACATTTTGTCATGTGTTTGATCCTCGTAAAATAAATCAATTTCCTCGTTAGAATCACTGTTAGTGTTTACTGTTTAGCCAACTTCCATCGTATTTTAAATGTGTTACCCGTACCCGTTCAATAACTGCACATCTATTTAGTTTTTGTTGAAAGGTCTGAAGCAACTAGCGTCAATTGAACCATGGCCTTCAATTCAGATAAAATTAACATTTTTTTCAGACCTTATTGAGCTAATATCAAAATGGTCTTTTGCTGCACATAAAATATTTAACGTAGACGAAACGGTGACAACAAAGGTACATAAACCAGAAAAAATCCCTGCTCAAAAAGGACAAAAGCAAGTTGGTGCTGCAACGAGTTGGGAACGAGACAAAACAATAACAGTATCTTGCTGTATGAGTACCACTGGACAGTATATCTCTCCAACGTTTATCTTTTCTCGAATACGCATGACGCCAATACTTAAAGAGTGGGCAAAATTAACTTATAATTGGTCTAAGTCTGGGTAGATGACAGAGGAACTATTTCGTATTTGGTTAATATACTTTCTCTTTTACACAAAAGCAACATTTGATAATCCTGTCTTACTCATCCTCGACAACTACTGCAGGCTTGTCTCTTTGGATATATTTATTTTTTGTCACCAGAATGGAATTATAATGCTGTCTATCCCACCTCACACTTCTCACAGTACTCAACCGTTAGATTTAACATTTTTCAGGTCATTGAAATTGCTTATTATAAAGAATGTAACCTTTTTATAAAAGCTAATAATTATAAAAAAACTAATACCTTTCCATATTGCTGGCCTCTTTACTAAAGCTTTCTTGAAGGTAGCCAATGCGGAAAAAGTAGTAAATGGGTTTGCAGCTTCTGGATTGGGCCTCTAAACCCGGACATATTCTCCGATGTATACATTGAATTGAACGTGATTCTCATCATTAAATAGTAAAATAATCGCAACTTCCCATAAAACAATTCAAGACACTATTGCAGAATTGCAATTGCAGGGTGTAATAATTGCATAGTCCCATAAAATAGTTCAAAACCCCAGTACAGAATTACCTTTAACAGATGTTACAAGGGCTTTATCTCTCAATATTGTTGGATCATTGGAAAAAAATAGGCAAAAATAGCTCAATTATTCAAGACAAAGAAAATTTGTCTATATCTACAAAAACATTTGATAATTTTGCTACAGTCTCTCCTGCTCCAGAGACTTTTTCGAGCCAGTAAAAACAAAAATCAAAAGTGACAAAAAAGAACCACTCACATAATTAACTTCAATGCTAATGAAGACTGAATTGGAAAATCTGGCACTAAAAAGGTCTTTAAAAAATAATTCTCCGAAGTACACAAAAACTAGAAGAAGTAAAAACACCAAGTTATCCCATAAAAGAAAAGTTTTTGTAGACTCTTTAGATTCAGACGAGGAAGTGGAACAAGTTTGTGACGACGAAGATGATGTTATAGAGTTTATGGAATGGGTAGCAAACAACAATAATGATATATGTCTCCTATGTCGAAAATTCGGCAAAAATAATGAAACTTGGTTCCTTTGTGTTTATTTATTTATTTATTTATTAACGGGATACCACCTAATTTAATATATACACAAAGTATTACAAGTATTATCTAGTGATACAATAATTATAAAGATGTAGTAAATATGTATGAAAAGAATTGGCGATGCAGCTATATAGAAAAAAAAAACAAATATTAAAATTATATAAAGCACATAGCAAATATAAATCACATAAAATTACAAAAATTTTTTTAAACACATTCTACAGACATTTTCCGAAGCGCACAGCAACAAATCAAAGTCTATTCTATTTCCATTTAGAATGATTCTACTCAGTGGAGAATGCCTACCAAAGTTAGAGCGATGAAATTTAATTGCAAAATTATGAGATGTTCTAGTAACTCTAGAGCGAACATTAAAGTCAATTAGAGACAGTAGATCATTGCAATTAATTTTTGAATTCAGTAGTTTATGAAGAAACAAAACGTCAGCATACATCCGTCTGGAAGATAGCCTAGGAAGGTTTAATGTATTTCTAATTTCTGAGTAGGAATGCTCGCTTAAAGGCTTGTGTAATTTAAAACTTAAGTACCTAATGAATTTATTTTGGACTTTTTCAAGCTTGGCTATATGGACTTCATAAGTGGGTGACCAAACGACTGAGCAATACTCAAGAACAGATCTAACTAGGGAATTGTAAACCAGTCTGATGGAATTAATGTTATGCAAACATCTAGAGGTTCTAATAATGAAGCCTAACATTTTAAATGCCTGGTTATTCACATAATCAAAATGAGCGCAAAAATTTAGTTTGGAATCTAATTGAACACCTAGATCTCTTACAGTTGAGACAGCCTTCAGTGGTTCTTCAGCTAATTTGTAATTATAAGAGAGGTTGTTAATTCTTCTACAGAAACTAATAAAGTGTCATTTTCCAACATTAATGCTCATTTGGTTCCAATTGCACCATGCCATAATTTTGTTAATATCAATTTGGAGTTTTTCACAATCTGAGACGTCTTCGATAATTCTATAGATTTTTAAATCATCAGCAAATAGCAAAAATTTAGAGTTAATTTGAGATTTAATGTCATTAACAAATATATTAAAAAGGAAAGGCCCTAAGTGGCTTCCTTGTGGAACACCAGATGTTACAGAGATCTCAATAGATTGAAAGTGTTTAATTTTAACAAGTTGTATTCTGCTAGTTAGG